GGTCACTACACCCCCAGAGCTATGCCGTCGGCTGGAACTCTGGCCTTCCTCCAGTCCTATGTGTGTACGTTCGACAACAAGTGCTACCCCAACGCCACCAGCGCGGGCACCAACGTACAGGGATCCATCAACACCTTCAATAGTTCTCTGTAAGTGGTTCAACCATTGTCGGTATGTATGTGGTTCAACCATTCTGTATGTGGTTCAACCATTCGGTATGTGGTTCAACCGTTTTCTGCAAGTGGTTCAACCGTTTTTTTGTAAATGATTCAACCATTCGGTATGTGGTTCACCTTTCATTATGTGGTTCAACCATTCTGTATGGGTTTCAACCATTCTGTATGTGGTTCAACCATTCTGTACATGGTTCAACCATTTTCTGGAAGTCGTTCAACTGTTTTCTGTATTGCAAGTGGTTCAACCATTCTGTATGTAGCTCAACCGTTGGCTGTAAGTGGTTCAACCATTGTGTATGTAGTTCAACCGTTATCTGTATGTGGTTCAACTGTTTTGTATCAAATGGTTCAACTATTCAGTGGGAGGTTCAACCGCTGTCTGTTTGTGATTCGACTGTTGTCTCTAAGCGGTTCAACCTTTGTAAGTTGTTCAATCATTTTCTGTGAGTGCTTCAACCATTGTCTGTAAATGGTTCAACCATTGTCTTTAAGTAGTTCAACCTTTCTGTATATCGTTCAACCGTTTTCTGTAAATGGTTCAACTGCTGTCTGTATGTAGTTCAACTGTTGTCCGTAAGTAGTTCAACCTTTCTGTATATCGTTCAACCTTTTTCTGTAAGTGGTTCAACCGCTGTCTGTAAGTCATAAGTGGTTCAATAATTCTCTCTAAGTGGTTCAACCGTTCTCTGTAAGTCATTCAACTGTTTCTGTAAGTGGTTTAACAGTTTTTTTGTGTGTTTCTCTGTAAGTTTTTCAAGTTGTTCTATAGTTCTCTATAAATTGTGCATGTCATACCGAAAGGTTGTACTCTTTTCTGACCTCCTATTGTCTCTGTCCAGGTACCTAACTTTTTTTTGTGGAAAATCTCCTGACCGTGGTTGGTTGGCGGGTGCTCTGTTGTGGTTTGCTTCTTCTTTCCTATCAAACATCTATCGTCCTTATCTTCCCTTCTTCTTTTAAATGTTTGTTACTCTCTTGTATCACCTCTAATCTTCTGGCGCTCATATGACTTTATGCAGTTGTGAGTGCCATAAAACCTCTACTAAAAAAAAAAAAAGTCTTCAATGAAAAAATAATGATTTAACTAAAACCTTCCCCACCTTCCCATACCACCTCCCTCCCCCCAAAGTAATAAAATCCATACACAAAAACAAGTACTAGTTGACTGAAGCGGTAAATGAATTAAGTTCACATTGTTTTACGATCCAGATGAATTCATTGACGTAGTAGTATGCATGGAATTTTAAAAAAAGAAAAGAAAGAAAAAACTTTTTTTTGGTGTGAATTAAAAAGGGAAAATAAGATTAATTTAAGACCCCAAAAAAGAGACAAGTAATAGTCTAGTTAATTATCTTGCAGGCTTGACGTTGCAGTCCGGGATCTGGAGCAGATCTTAACCGACAACGACTTCAGTACCCTCACCAATGACCTTGAGCTTTTGCTGAACTTTGTGAATGCTCTTCAGAATGGAACGTCTGCCGCAGGTTTTTTGGTTTTTTAAAATGTTCCCATTGTTTTCATTAACTTTGATTAAAGCACACACAAATTTATTGCTTATGATTCATGAGTAGATGGGATAGCTTCATTTATTTCTTATTAATATTAATAAATGTCCGCTCTGGGATCAATAAAATGGGAATTTTATTTATTTATGTCAATTAGTGTTTGTCTGGAATTAAAAAAGAGAACGCTTGTACATAAATGGTTTTTATTCAAGGGATAGTGAAAGATACCAAACTTTCACTAAAAGTATGAATTAATCTATCATGTTTTTTTTCTCGAAATTACTTACTTTGAGTGTTTGAATAGATGATGGATGATGGGAAAAAAATTGGGATAATAAAGTTTTTTACGAGAACATTAACGCGGAGAAATGAGTGATGCACCATAATCTTTGGTTGAAGAAGAAGGTTTATTCTCGCAAAACTGAAAACTGAAATGTTGTTGGGTATTGGCAAAGTACGTAACTGAAAAACTGTCGTGTGTGCTTTTCAGGGGATGTTGGCATTCGGGTGTCCAATGTGATCCTTGACAGGCAAAGCTTGCTGGATATCGTGGCCAATCAGAGCATCAACCTGACCCCAGATGCTATCGATACGCTGCTGAATGCCTCACTTAATGTCCAGAATGTAAGGGATTCGTGCTTATGTCTCCTTCTTCTTTCTTTTGTTTGTTACTCTCTAGTATACCTCTAATTTTTCGGTACTTGCATGACCTATTTGTGTTGCAAGTGTCATAAAAGTCTTACTTAACGTAAAGCTTAACTTGCTAAGAAATTATGAGGTGATCTGACAAAATGAGTTACTTCTCACAATCGGGGAATGGAGATATCAGCAAAAAATTGACACAGGGGTCAGATTTGTAGATTTTCAACCTATGCCATTTTCTTCAAGTTTAATGTGTCTTTTATCATTTCACACTTTTGAATTGTAAAAACTCTACTTATTAATTTGGTGTGTCTGTGTCCACTGGGTTAATGAAATCCGAGAAGTAACTCGTTTTGTCAGCACACCTCACATTTGATCTATGTTGCGGTTGTTGTTGTTGTTGTTGTTGCTGTTGTTGTTTTTGATCTAGCAACAGCTGGGCTCTCGCCCTTCTGTTCAATGCCATGTAGTGATAAGTGCGGGTTTGCTGCAGTTGCTGTAATGTTCCTCATGACACAAAGTGTGTTGTCAATGTTAGGTCTCTGAGGGAGAAGTATTTGTCCTGTGTAACATGTACTTATTGATTGTGTTGGGCACAAATCGATCAAGTCTGAGATTTTTTTTGGATATATCAATGCTGAACCGCCAGCCAAAAAGGATATTTGTTTTAAAGATTAAAAAAAAAGTCATTTTCAAACTTATTCTTAAAAATATGGACTTGGGATGTTTGTAGAGAGTTTGTTTTCTTGGTAACAAATTCAGTTTTTTAAAATCTCTCCTGTAAAATTGTAAAAACTATGTGTACTGTATTTTTGGAAATGACAGCAGAAATATTCTCAGGTGTGTGTGTGTGTGTGTGTATGTGTGTGTGTGTGTGTGT